TTGCTATCGTGTTTTCAAGGAGGATATTTCGTTATTTGTACTCAATATTACGTGTTCTATATGATTGGCTGGTTGCACCCTTTTGGTCTCCGCCACCATCTGCCATATTCAAATGACCAACCCTGAATTTATGATGGCTCGAAAATGTTGGTACCATTGATGATGTATACAAAATTTACTCATACTTGCTGTATTTCTGAAAGTCTCCTGTTTTGCATCATAATTTCACAGCTATAATTCTATCTCTATTCTACCTCACTCCCTTCGTGTTCCCTGGGTCTCCTAGATCCTCTAGTTACTCTGTCCCTTTCCTTGTTTACATATTCATGAGTAAAAGCCTGCAGATGCAAAAACTTTCACAAGGCGAAAAAATGTATTCATATACTTATCGGAAGTGAATATCGAACAGAATGTATTGGAAGCCTTATATCCGTCATAATAAGCAGTTGGCAAGACAGCAATTCTGAACGTAATATCCATTGAGAACAAAGAAATACTTTTCAAAAGCTTATAGGAAAGATAGGATTGATTTAATGTTTATTCCATCAACTGTTAAAAATGTGAATAAATCTACACACTTTGAAACTGGAAAAAACCAGCATAAAAGAAAATGTACATCATCAACTTTTCAGAGTCATGAATAAGGGAAGATCAAAACTAGAGCAGAACATTGCAATAAGAAGCAACAACATCAGCTTGCATGTATCTGAAGGACTAGTGAAGTTGGTTGCGGAGTTGGGGTATTAATCCTGATAGAAAAGTCTCACATATGAGGTGGGAGACTTTCGTTGGAAATAAATACTCTCCTCAAACCCATTAAAAGAGACGTACTTTTAGAGTTTATCGGAACAAGCGAGGGTACTATTTGGTTTAAAGAAAAGTCTTAGCAATCAGAAGTAAAAGTAAGGGTAGGTGACACAACTTTGATAGATAGTTTGTGTGAATCTATACAATGGGTACCAAGGAAAGCACCAAATCTTTTCGATAAAATATTGTTCATGATGATTGACTTCACTTGTCAATGAAGCTTCTTAGCTCTTTGCTAGGGTTAGCGCTTATTACTTTCGCTGTCGAAGATGCGTCCGGGAATGTCCCCATTCAACGTTCCGATGCTATTAGTATTGTGATAGCGGGTGCAGAGGATGTGATGGTAGGTTCGTCAAAGTTTACTCAAAAATCGAGGTAAAGCAAAGTCTTTCTTCATTTACTGTCCAATACTGGCTTTCTATGGAACTCATGCATGATCATCAAAATCCCTAACATTTCCGTACTTTATAGACGTGAGAACACATTATTATTATTTAAACTTGGTCATGTTTAATAGTGCAATAAACAAATAAAATGGTGCAACTAAACGCTAACAATTCAATTTCTTGATATAGTGAAATCGCAATCTGGCGACATATGACTTGGTGAACTCTAATTGAGTCATAAACACTAATATATGCTGCAATGGTAGGACAAAAAAAACATCTAATTTTGGTCAGCATATGGCTCTTTTAATAAAACCAAATGGAATTCTGTGCCGTTATATTTATTCAGCATAGTCCGATATTGAAATATGATAAAATTTGCTTTGATTGAGTCTCGCAATCAAAATGAATATTTTTTGGAGTGTTTGTAAAACTTGAACTAAAGTGCCACCTATCAAATAGGCAAAAAAATGTACATATTCGATGTTTCATTTTTTTTATAGTCATGTCTATCAACCGGCCTTATTTTTTACTGCTTATCTCTAGCTGACAAAATGGCACATTTTCTGATACTGTCCGTGGTTAAGCATAATTAAATTTCTTATTTACATGTTCCGCCCTTATATCGTAGAAGATATAAATGTTCATTCATTTCATAGCACAGATACCACCATAAAATATTACATTACATTTATTAAATTTACTACGTTTTTGCTTTGCCTGTTTAATCTCCTACCTCACATTTTATACTGAGAATTGACTTCTTTAAATATTATTCTTACGTGGCTGCTTATTTATATCTATATATCCTGATTGCCTATTATTTATGTGTTACAGGCAAGATCCCTGTGTGGGCAGTAAACAAGGCGACAAAGCACATTGCACCCCGCGTTATTTCATGTCTCGTGAAGGCGGCACGAACATATCCTGCCTGGAAGGCACGCCACTCTCCTCACCTAAAACCGTGGCGCAACCCCGATCAGTTGACTGTGCCTCGTATTAACTGGGCAGATGTGTCCCCTGTTCCAAGTGACCTCTTTTCGAGTTCTAACGGGGAGGCCACTGAAGAAGATGAAGGTGAAGAGGATGTAATGGCAGCCGATGAGGAAGCTTTAGCACGGCTGGAGCGCGACGTTGACCAGCTGATTGTTGACAGTGGCATATATACTGAAGACATTGTGGATAGTGTAGAACCAATAATGTTAGAAACAGGTTTCAATGGCTTGGCGAAACCGGTTACCTAGACGACTCTTAACTTGATACCGGCAATCGAGTTTCAGCCACATCCAGAGGTATTTTATTCCATATCGTTTTCTCAATGCCTATCTCTATTTGTATACCTGGGATTTGCCTTTGTGACATTTGTATGCAAACATCTGTTAGCTAGTCCCGAATGGAGTTCGTGGGCTAGTCTGAGTGAGATTCCAGTTCATATACTGGTATTCGTTAAATTTATGGCTTAAGTTCGCATAAAATAAACTATTTGTTTTCATAGTAAGTAGGGTTTCGAGACTTATGCTCTTCATAACAGCTGCATGACAATGTATAATTAAACTGTTTCTAGCCTCTTTTTACATTCTTTCTTCCAACAAGCATACTCCTTAAATTTGTTCTTTATTTTTCCTTCCTCTTGGTAACAAGAGATCAATGCTTTTCATTTAATTCAATCTAATTTTATCGTCTAATCTATTCAACCTAGCATTAATGTATAGCTTCTTTTATTTTTTTTAGCCCTGATACTGGCTGAGGGCATATTAGAGCATCTATTCCGTATTAGTAATCTTGAACAGTCTATAGGCTTAATATTGTTGCGAAATATCCAAGCTAAGTAGTCTATGGTTAAGAAAAAAATTGAAATTGAATTGATTATGCTTTGGATCTATCAGTAGAACAGTTCTGATTAACTGAAAATCGAACTTATATTTTCATGTTGGGCTTATTACTCTAAATAGTAAAGATCAAAAATTCACATTTTATCACTTGATCTAGCGCACTATCCGTGATTCATATAACCATTTTTACATCATACATTTCTAGGAGCACAAAAATATATTTATATATATAGGAAATATAGTTATAGGAAAATCCCTTAATAAATTTATATTGTAGTACCTTTCATTTCGTTTAAAGAGGCGAGTGGAAGCGATTCGTAAGTTGGTTAACCGGAAGCTGTAGGGAGGTTGCTTTGGAGCGAATTGGCCCTCGGGGATTCGCAAGGCGATCCCGGTGAATCCTTGTTGAGCTTTCATCCGTCATGTGACGGACATCGTCAGAGCAAGGCACCAAGCTTTACGATAATTCACCAAGTACAAAGACAAGAAAGGTTGACGGCTGCAATCCTGCATACTTTTTGTAGTCTAGCTATATCCATTTAGGATTTGGTTAGATTTTCTATTCATTTCCATCATTTTTGAGGAAAAGCGCAGAGGCTGCTGCCAACACAAATTCACTTCATAGTTTTAGTTCGACCTTGTTTTCGCAGCTTGCTCGAAGCGTCAGAGAGACCTTGTGGAACGTACCTAGTTCTGTGTCCTCTACCATAGTATTAAGGATTTCCAACATTGGACCATTCCAAAACGTTTTGCCGGTATCGTTAGTGAGATGCACGATCGTAATGTCTACGATAAATCCACTTCCTTTAATCTTAGTACAATGATTTAGCAATCATACATGCATTCCGGAGACAAATATATTAGATAAACTAATCCATCAATATTATATTTATTTAGTCAGACATAAGGACATTTACTTTACCTGTGACCCTTTTACAGCCTACCTGTATACTTGTGAAATCTCACTCTGATTTACTTTATAAGCAGACTGACCAGCTCCCATTACGCTCCCTGGACGAAGCCAGAGTAAATAGCATTGCACTCGCATCGAGTCCTATGGTCGCCTGTACTTCTACCAAATATGTACAGGTCTCTGGAGGTCTAGGGTTTTTAGAACTTTTTTCAATTCAGGCTCTACTACACCCTCCATTCTTGACAATCTCTTCCTCTCTTTTTGCTCGTGGAATTCGCCAGTGCCTTCATCTTATATTTGTATTGTGATTTTCTTATCTGGACGGTTCGGCTAGTATGTATTTTTCCTTTTGCAAGCGAGATTTAGGTCTTGTACTTTTTTAACGAAATGCAGGAATAGTTTTTCGATCTGGACAGTATGGCTATATTATGCTTATCGTATCTTCTATGTCATCTTCCTCACTTTCCTCTCTCATACCTCCAATCCCTATCTTCATCTTTTTAGATCGTATTTTCTGCCAAACAATAGAGAACTAGCCGATACACCTACATTCGCTGACTGTGTCCATGAATTCGACTCGCCCTCCTACTCAAGGCTTACTATACGTTGCATCCTTCAGAAATGATATATACACATCTCTCGAATGTATTTTGGCTAACCTTAAGACTGCATGCGGATACTAGTCTTGCAGTAAACCGTTCATCCATCCATCTATGCATAATCTGAAAGTCACCTTATTTGGTTTGGTTTATTGCTGGCGCTTTCTAATTGCCGCAAATACCAACATCTATCCAGTTATAAAGTCGATTTTTTTGACACTCTTTTATCTCTACATATTACCATGTATGTTTTTCAGATTTCATTCTGTATTGTATCTGACAATAATATGGACTTTTTTGTTATTTTTTCTTATTGTTAGGGTATCTCTTCATTTGTTATTTTTAAGAAATGTATTCGTATATAACACTATATATACATCTATTTGCTCCGGTTGTATACATTATTGTATTCTCCTGCCTTCTGTTATGTGACGTTATATTTTGGTGCTGGAATTGCATTATTATTTTTGAGTAACTGGCTACCTTAAGTATGTTCTTTAGCCACCATGACACTGCTTTACACTTTCTTGGAGCTATCTTGCTTTTTTTATATTATTTTGGTTCCCATTCTTTTTCACCAGTACATGATTCTCTCATCGTTGAGGTGCCTCAATTCTTTATAAAAGGCAAAACTGAAAACCATTCGTTAACTGGGTATCACTCAAATAACCATCATCGGACTTATTTTCTATATATATTTTCTCTTAGAGATACTCTTCGTCAGCTGTTTGCCACTTCATGTATTTTAGCTTTTGAATGTTGTGCTGCTTAGGCTGCCATATTTAAAGTGGTCCATCAATGGGACCACTGCATAAATGGCCTCAATTCACGATTACTCTGATGCTTTTTTTGCAAAATGTAGTCATTTAGCACGAATTTATGCATTTTATTTGTTGAAGTTTGATTTAGCCCTGTATTTGTTAGATCTAAGTAAACACAATGCGCTGATTTATGTGATAAAAACACAACTCTCGTACCATATTCAGTGGTAACAGTATCACTCAATACACTCATTGGCCTTGCACTTGCGCATCTTGCGACGTGGAAAACATCGATAACGGCTTTAACAACCTTAAGTCGAATAAAATGTAGGTTTGGTTTGACTTCGTTCTCGCAACTTGGTCAGGGCGATAGAGAGACCTTGGAAAACTTACCTAGTATGGCGCCCTCCGCCATAGTATCCATGATAGTTTCGAGCATCGGACCATTGACTCGGCACGTTTCTAGAAGTTCCGCCGGCCTCGTTAGTGAGATTTGCTATCGTCAGACCAAAATTAAAACTTATCAAAGTGACAAGCGGAAGCCATCTCCTTGAACAATTTTCTGCTCAAATCGTATAGCATCACTCCTCGCCCATATTTTTTGTCCAGACTTCCAGTGCTGCATATCTTTCAACACCACTAATATGGAATTTGGTTTACCTCGTTGTCGCAACTTGGTCTTGTTTTCAGGGCAACTTTATAGAGCGCATCTTGTCCGAGGTCCTCTGCCATAGTAGTTCCCAGCAGATCGTGGACTTCGTATATTCTCAGAAGTTTCTCCGGCATCATCAATGAGTGTTGCAATACTCCGCACCAATCTGTGCGCTCGTCAGAGACAAGTAAAGTCAATATCTTGACAAAGTTTCTGCCGAAACGGTTGTGCTATCACTCCTCTTTCTGTCCTGGTCCCAATTGTCCCTGACGATTTCGTAGCTTGGTGTGGAGAACGGCAACATTCATTGATGATGTCGATTAATCTGCCGGCGAAACATCCACGATATGGTGCTGGGAATGATGATAACTACTATGGCAGAGGACTTCGGAGAAGGTGAGTTCTACTAAATCCCCCTGACAACAAGACCAAGTTGCGACAACAAGGTCAATCCACTTCTATAAATCGAAAGGAGACTGCGGACATACCGGCTGCCACACCATCTTGGTCTTCATATCTTCGACCACTTCATATAGCCTATTTACCTATTCACACCATCCTGTGTTTTTGTTTCTTCTAATTTCGCCTAAGAGAGCGTCGCTTCAAGTTGATTTGGTGAAGAGTAGACATCTTTTTCATTGGCCTCAGGTGCTGTTCGCAAGGCTTCTTCATTAATTCAACTTGAAGTGACACTCTTAGGCGACAGGAGGATACGGGAACACAGAATGTTGTGATTAGGCAAATGGGTGATATGATGTGTGGTTGAGAGAAAGAGATGCTACAACGGATAAACAGAAAATCGGTGTGAGGGATTTCTTTTTTTGTGACTGATAAGTTGTAATTCTGTGCACAGGGTCGTGCCTCCCACTGACGATGCCGGCGTAACGTCATGCTGGAAATCATCATGAATACTATGGCACAGGACAAAGGATTAGCTATGTTCCACAAGGTCTCCCTTTTGCTCCGACCAAGTTGTGAAAACGAGATCAAACCAATACTGCACAACTAAAGGAGATTGCAACTTAAAAAAGGCAACACCATCTCGGTCTTTATATCTATGATCTAATCATCTTTGTTTTTAGAAAGTTCCTAACCTAGAATCTCATTTTTTTAAAATTTCTATACTAACAGTACATATGATACAAATGTTGTGCTTACCCTATTAGTCTTAAGGTGATGAAGGACTAGTAGTTAAATTTTTTCACTGCTGTGAGTTGCTCTCATGTTTCCATTTACTTTCACATATCCCTGCTTTCCCTAAAGTAGTTCTCATCCAGGGTGGGCTGCAGTTTCGATATGGGAAAATGCCTGGCCGTCCTTGAAATTCACATCTTCCCTCTGACCCAAGGGAACTCGTAGCAATTTTGCGTAGTGGTTAACGTGTCGAGATTACGCGTTGCACTGTCATGGTTCGAGTCGCGCTGGAGGGGTTGACAAAGCACGAGCGCAGTTAAAACTTAAGTCCATTTCGGCAAAGAGGACCTTTTAGAACGCAAGATTAGATTCAATTGAATGGTATTGTGAGGCCTATTCATTTCACTTGAGATATTCCACTATTTGGCTGCATAAGGTACTCAAATTCTTATTCCACACATATTTAAAGTATTAAAACTGTTCCAGTATAAAAATTTCTAATTTAAATTTAACAGGCCTCTATTTAGCCTGAAATATGCACTCCGAATCGGGGCCTTATCTCTTCCACTGTTCTTGCCTATGCCTTCTGATCGGCCTCGCCTGCGGCAAAGGGCCCGTTTCTTTGTCAGGCGGCCCCTGTGAGTTTTTCTTTATCGCCTCGGGCCCCAAGAATTTAGCATATTTTTATTCCACTATTCCTTGGTTGATGCTGCGACTTAATTGTCTATTGTTGGGCGCAATGCTGGACTGAGGTCACAGGTCATACCCAGCCTTTCTAATTAGATAGATGACTGGCCGACTGACCCTCTAGCCTCATCTACAACCTTATTTAGCCTTAGTTTCGTCCACCTTTTACTCAAATCTTGTCTCTCGTCGACCGCAGTGCTTCTCTTTTGTCAGCCGGTTTCACTTTCTTTGGTGGGTTTGCACCAGTTGTAACAAGTCTACGCTGTCACCGCCATTTGGTACATGGGCTGTATGCATTGCCTTATTGATCGAAGGGTAAGGGAGTAGGTCTGAGCAGTAACTTACTTTTACCCCTTGTACTGGCTGATCCTGTTTGTTTCTGAGCCAAGTATTTCTTCGGACAAGTGTCCTCCACATAAGCTAGCGCGCACCAAAACTCTAGGTTACTGGATAAGTGACACAAAGTAAGTTTAGTGCTATCGGCAACTTGAGGCGTCCTCTGCAAAAAATCGTGCTTAACTAATCTGGGTCTGTGCCGCAAAAGAGGCATCTACAAGAACTGGAATTTATGACGAAATAGTAAGTTTTGAAGACTTCCTTGGTGGACTATTGTGATTCGACTTTTCACTTCGAAGGAAAAGTTGGTTAGAATCAATTTGTGAATCGGTCTCACCCCAAACCGAATAAGGATTTTCTTCCTTCGTATTTAGTACTTTTGGAATGAACGAA